TGCCGAAATGGTGGAGTTTTTCCTTTTGCTACACAAAAGTGACTGCTTCGGCGCACAAGAAACTGTTCATTCAGAAACAGGTCACCACTGTTACGCTCTGAAACTCATTGTACCTGCTGGTGCTGCCAGGTGATGAGTCTTCTCTGAAGGCTTGAAGGAACGATAAAACAGAACCAGATTAAAACGGATGCATGTAGATAGGTGAGGAAAAACGTGACCCATGGAATCCAAACGTGTGACGACAATGACGAGTAAGATTGGCAACTGCCATTATTTATGTGGGTGAGCCGAAAGCTATCATGCTGAATGAATATACGTAGAAATCGAATTCACAGATCAGATTATTTGTATGCATTTTATCAAGGTTTAGTTTAGTTCTGTGCTAAGCTTATGTGAAAAATGTAAGAAGTACCATTGGATCCATGCAAATTGGGTTTTCACGTGAGACTAGCTGAAATCCAACTGAATCCCTCGCCAGTGATATCCTTCAACTGAATGTACTGCACAAAGACCACCTCAGGTTTCAGTTGGTACGATATTCGAGATGATACAGTATATTTTCATAAGGGAAACTACTCACTAGTTGCAGAGGTCCGTTTGAGAGCCCATGATTAGTTTCAGTCTTCTTGGGGTCCCAAATGAATAGATTATTCTACGAAAAGAAGCATCCAATTATTTATTTAATAATTCTCGTCTTGGTGTCTGGTGGGTTAACTGGATTTCGGTTGCTAGTACCGTAACTTCACCTTAGAGAGGAATTTTCACAAATTCCGGTATTCTTTTGACTGAAGGGTTATAAGGAAGAAAACTTGGCCAAAATGTCACCAATACAGATATTTTCTGTTTGATTTAGTGTACGCACTTAATAAGGTTTCCAGCCCATCAAACCTCCATTCCCCGAAACTTGAATCCTCTGACTATCATTCTGGTTTTTTTCCTTCACAAAGTCAGAGCTAAGCACAGTGGTGGTGGAATGTAGGCGAAGCCCATCGGTATCTCTTGCACCGTAGCTTCACTAGTATAGATTAATCCGTATACCAAGTTGAACGGTGCTTTTTTGTATCAATCTCTCGTCCAAACAAAGAATTCCACTTTTTCAACCGACAACCCAATAAGTGCATTCTTCAATGTACTGCTTTCGAGGTATCTAGGGTAGAGACAACCGCGCTAGCAACTACACAGTGGACAAATAAAAGGTCCACTGCACCTCACTTGTTTTTCATAGTCCCAGGCAAAGGCACGCGTCAAGAGAGCACGATAACTCTCACGCACCCGGGGGGCAGATGCGCTTTTGTCCCGAACCTGTCAACGCACTTTCCCACCACATAAACAAGAACGGAAGTTTTTATAAAGTGGCACAATGCAAAACCGACCAACAACTACCACGTCGTTGTGTTGACAGTTTTATCACTTGCCTACCTCCATTTTTTAACATTAAAAGTAGCCCGCCGTTATCCAACGGAATCTGGTTGTGATAACGATCGGGATAACCTGATGGGGTTTTTCGTTATTACCGTACCAACACACGTTTACACTTAGAAATAGGCTAAAAAGCAAAATCGTTCACTTCAACTACTGCACGAGCACTACGAAGTGAATAGGATGCAGCAGTTGAAAGGCCTATTTTCCTGACTACGGTATGTGATGATCGCCGTTTATTTTTCCGTGATACAATGATCAGAATATACCAGAAATTTATCCGTAAACTACCCCAGTGTTTTACAGCCATTTATATCACGGGACCCGAAACGACTAACTTGTGACGCTCATTTAGATGGAATTCAAATCAGGTGGTAGTCCGAAAACCATTACGAGTGCAACCTTTACAAAATTTGCATTGCAAGTAATCAATTAAATGCGTAACTTGTTTTTGTGAAAACCCGGTTGTAAATTCACAGTGGAAGGTTTGTTAACACAAAACTGGTCTCATCCCCAGCATGAGGTTGAATTTACTGCATTTAACTTAGCCGTTGGTAGTATCGAATAGTGATATTCAAAAGCCGGGAGAGAAAAACAGGTGCGGTGAATTTTTAACCGCAATCTGTACGCAACATATGAGAACTGAGTAACCGAAATTCAGCCGGATGGGTTATAATAATCCCATCGAGAGTTAGGTCGAGCAATGGAGGATTTTGTCATCCTTTAGAAAGAGGGATACGGAGTCTTGTTAAATGAGCCAAAATGTTTATAAGATGAACGCTTTTCCTTCTTACCACCGCTACTTTAACCTATTCGGGTTCTATGGAAGATGGACGGTATGTTAGCCGATTGATACACACACGTTCCGCTCCCGTTCCTCAGGTAGATGTTAGGACAAGTAGTGCAAGCTCGGTTGACAAAGCGGTGAAAGCTTTCACCACTTTCCTGTTCAGGCATTTCAGCACAGTAAGGGTTCCACGACTACGATGAAACCAAGGTAAATTTCGATTAGACAGAGTTTGCGTCGACCAAATCGCCACCTTACATCACATACTGGAGTGTCGCTACAGGTTATAAAACTCTATTTAATTGACTTTTGTTGGACTGTCTCTCGGTAAGTCGGGACACGCTTTCTATCGTCATAACCGACAGGGGCCAAACTAGTGACTGTTGTTAAGTTCTTCTACAAATTCACGGCCAATTTTGCTCTCGCTATCGGTTTTGTACTCTGGTAGGCAGCGCACGATCTGTTACTCAATTACCAGAACGTAGAAATCGACTAAAATTACTAAGGATTACTGAACTCGAGTGCTCTGATGGCACAGTCACCTCCCACGAGTACTCTGAAGATTGGCAACCGATTTTCTGCCGAGCCATGGACTTTACGTCTTAAACCGGAGTTGAATGTGTTGTTCAGAAAACTCTTCAAAGACACCATCACGTTGCCTTCTTCATGAGAAACGAAGTAATCGAAATGGATAGGTCCAACTCAATGCCTAGCTATAGCACCCCAAGGAAATCAGTCGGAAGAACAAGGCCACCGCCTGTTCAGCATTTATGTACGCTTCTAAAACCGAGATATGTTGGAAGACTAGATGTATTCCATCAAAGTTGCGTGAAATCAGCCGTAAAGTCTAAATGGCAGAAAGAAGCCTAAAAACTACTCAACGATGTGAGGAACTTCACTGTGACATCCGGCGTAAGAGATTGGAAAGTTTCCAACGCAGATCACGTAAAGTCGACCTGGAACTCAGCAAGCGGGGTTTTCCACCCGAAGCGTTCACACACTGCTGGTGTTATCTGTATGGACGAGTAAAAATCTAGGTTGAAGTGATCACATACGACGTAGAGTACCTGGAACTCCAAAATATCTACGGTAGCGGAATACATCATGACTCAATTTCTCAACAACTTCTTCAGTTGGCAAGCGTGGTTAGCCACAACGCAGGTGTTTAGGAGACCGCTTAACAGGAGGAGACAACAGTGATTCACTTTGAGATTCGCAAATTATTTTGAAAACCTATCACACAAGGTAGTGCTATTCAAACTGTCCGGCACTTCTTTCCACTATTGGTCAGTGAGTGCTAGCTGTTCTCCCAGTATTGGGAGGAGGGGGTTCAGAACAGTTCCCAAGTCAGGAAATATTTCACTCGTCCGCACATTTGGAAGGAAAACGTACTTGCGCGGGATCAGATTAAAAAAAGACTGGTTGTACATACAAC